GATTAGCTCTAAATACTAGTACATTTTAAAACCACTTTTACATAGTGGTACAGCAAAACCTGTTCTAACTCTACTGGGGATTGGATGAGATGTGACATTGCATCCAAACTTGGGGCAGGGAGTCCGGTACTATGCTTGCTGGCACTGCTGTGCTGTAGCTGGGCATTTTTCTTGGTGCTAAGAGCGTCACAGTGAATGCCACACTGCCCTCATGCGACATGGAGATAGACAATAAAGCAAAGTCCCAGAGCAGCAGGAGAAGAGATAACAGGGACATTATATTCATGAAGGATTCTATAGTACTAAAATACCATGGCAATGGATGTGTGAGAAATGCCAATGGCTAGATTAGAGCTGAAACTCTTAAATGAATTGAAAAATGATGGGGACTAAGCACTGTCCAATGTTTTTATACCAGGAATGATGTCGTAACGAGGTTTCACTGCTTTTGATGCTACCAAACTCCCCTATTCTGCTCCCATTCCTGCTGTCATATCCATGTTAGGACATTAACTGGGCATCATTAGATGTTGGCTACAGAGAAGCTAGGATCAGGGTTCTCTTCCGACGACTTAGAAATGTCACCCTTCCATCCCCTGGTCTCCTACCATTACAAGCAAGCATCTACAACAGTGTCATGTGGAAAGTATTTAATTTAAATTGGGGAGTGGATTGAAAAGGAGAAAAGACCTGAACTTTCACCCAGAGCTCATATTAATCCTGAGCCACATAGGGTTCTGGAAAGAATTCTGTTAACTTTCCATTTTCATGCCTCTCCATGCTTCTGGCCACGACCCACCAGGCCAATGACAAAACATCACCAGAAAATATCTTCTTCCAACATTTCCAACCAGATTTTACAGACTTGAGGGGCTTGCACACCACCAGTGAAGCACCCAATTCAAGCTGAACTGTTAGGAACGCAATTCACCACTCATTAAAACACCGGGGACCCTTCAGTTGCCAGGTGTATCCCTGACACGGTGATCGCTTCTCTCTCGTTTTGGTGAAGGGGAACCCAGTGACCTCACTGAGGAGATTCAACACTCCACCAAGACTAGCAAGGGCATGTACCAGGGCTGGTTGGAATCTTTCCCTGAGGTAGTGCCTAAGAGTGGAGTGTGTGAGTGAGGAAGTCACCTACTTCTTAGGATCCAAGCACAGCCCACACCTGCAGCACCCTCTGCTGTTCCATTCCTGTCCGTCCCCAGCTGTCAAAGAATCTCAGTCCTGACTTAACTTACAAATCCCGGCTACTCCAGTCCAGGGCTCTCCACACAAATCTGCTGCACCTAAATTCTGACCTGCAAGTCCCCCTTCCCCTCATTGCAGTCCTGGGTCTTTTTTTCTGAAAAAGATTCCAGTCATGAAATTAAAAAAAAAGTATTTTCTCACCAATACACAGCTATTCAATCCTTTATTCCCACAGGGATCAAAACCAAAAACGAAATGGAACATTAAACAACGCTTTACACCAATGTTCCTTCAATTCTGCGGAATGCACACAGGTTTTAGGATTCTGCTCGTCCCCGTCCCACCCCACCACCCTCCCTCCCTTTCTAATCAAAGATTTTATCTCAGATCTTTTCATACTTGCCAAAAAACACTTCCTCCCCATCCCCATAAGAAACCCTGTCTTGTCAAAGCAGGTTTAAAAGCAAGAGCTGATGGGATTCCTAAGTGATCCGCGTGGGAAAGAACACATCTGTCTTCAGACTGAACATGGAGAGAGGGAGAACAAATCACTCTTTTGCTTTTGTTACATCAATGTTTGTTTTCTGTATCCAAACGTGTAACAGGAAATTAAGCAGTTCACCTTTGTAAAGCATTTTGCATCCTACTTACGCATGAGCCAGATGGTGCTTTCTCTTTGTTTTAAAAGATTAAAAATGGAAAAGAAAAGAAATGGCTAGTAGTTAATCCCGAACCTGGAATGCACTCCCGCATCCCATCCTCAGCCGTGCTGGGCGAGGGCAAACACACAGACCCAACAGATTTAAGTAAGCTGCAGCCTTCAGAGTGCTGCAGACCTGTCAGATCTTGTCAGTTTTCAGATGGAATCCTTCACAGCCTTCTCAGAAAATGATAAATTACTGTATTCTTCTGGGGCCTCAACCTGGATACACAACACAATGTGTTACAAGAAATCACCCGAAATAGAACTTTGCTCCAGGATCCTACGAACGGGAAATATCCCCAGCAGAAAGGTGTTCTGCATGGACACTGAGAAGTTGGTTCAAGGAACTTACTATGGGGGTTATACCCACTGCTTGGTACCATACCCAAAGGGTAAACCTTAAAGGTTGAACTCATCAGCCACATCCTAATGGCTGCATATGGGAGTCCAAGTCCTATTATGATTCTCAGACTTGGGATCTTGCTCTCTGTCTGTGTTACTTCAACAGCAACCATTTGTGGTGTCTGGAACAGAGGTCAAATAGCCTTTCATGCTGGGCATAAGCAACAGGGACAGGTGAGCTCTGAAACCCAAAAGATCCATTTTTAATGCAAAAGACGTTAGGAGTAAAAATCCTAAGATGCATTCAGGGCCAAGAATAACAGTTGTTGCTAAACAGAATTGCTTGCCTTGCCCAGGTTTGCAAGAGAAGTCAATTGCACTTTACACCAGGGTTATAGCCAAATGGTCCCTGACACCACAGCTACAGAGCCACATCCAATACCACTGATGTCACCACCAGCTTTTTTCCCAGAAAGGTGGCAACGGCTGCTAGCAGGGAGCTCAGCAATGCCGACTGCCCTTTACACACCTTACTCCTCCGCACAATTCAAACCTAGCAAAGCAAGTCTCATGCTATCAAAGAATGTTGTTGTGCTAAGTGAGAGCAGAAGGGGAGAGGAGGACAGTTTGGGGGGAATGTTGGACCAGAGGACAGAGCACTTAGGACTCCTGGGTTTTGCTCCCAGCTATAAGAGGAACATGGCCTACTGGCTAAGGGAGGGGACAAGAGAATCAAGAGACCTGGGTGCAATTCTGTCCTCTGCCACTGATTCACTGTGTGACCTTAGACAAATCATTTAACCTCTCTGCTTCATTTTCCCCATGTGTAAAGAGGAGTAATAATAGTGACCCCTACTTCTCCGGGGTGGTTGTGGGGGCCCCTTCAAATGGACAGTGCTAGAGAGGGACTAAGTAGTAGTAGTATGGGTTAAATGATCAAGATTTGTTTTTAATCCTAAAACTAATAAAAAATTGGACTCTGCAGAAAAAAACTCTTCCCCTGAGACTCTCTGCTTGTATAGAGCACAGTGCCAGGGGCTGCTCTGGCCACACAAGGCAGCTGGTGTGATACAAAGAAAAGCCCACTAGAAACAGATGACTTCTAAAGACGTTGCAGTGACTGGCTGGAAAGGGAGTGTTTTAACTTCCACCTCCTCATTCAATAAAGACATAAAAAATCCTTCTGAGAGAAGATGGGAGGGGCCCCGGGACATCTCCATTACAGAGAGTGAAAAGGGCCCAACACAGTCCCTTCATCCATGAAGCTCTTTGCAGTGCTCACTCCCTTTCCATGGGACTAGTGGGAAGGCAGCGATCCTGCTACATCGATGACTTACAGAAACCCTACTGGGGTTTTCAATAATGTAGTTAGACGGAGCATATCTTTTCTATAGTCATAGAGAGAAGAGTCAGATAATACCAGCTTGACAGCTCATCTTACTCCAAATCCTGCAAGACTCCTTCAGACATCATGCCCACTAACTTCTTATCTACCTGGTTCTTGAAATCTCTGCACTGACGGTGTCTTCACCATCTCCACCTTGGCCACTGCTCAATCGCTCTGTTGAGAGCTTTCCCCTGTCCATCTCCACCCTCCATCCCCCCACAAGGTAGCTCCTGCCTCAAGTTGTTTTAAAACAATGTGGCCATGGGTCACTCTGTCCCAAGGTGACAGAAATCAGGTGGAGCTCCAGCAGCCAGCTATATAGAACCAGACCCCTATGTTACAATCTGAAAGGAACCAAACCCAGAACATTCCCGACAGCAACAGCTTCCACTTCTTATCCTGAAAGACTCTTTTTTTGTGGAGGACAGGGTGCTGAATCCTCTATAGTATTCCCCCAAAGGAAAACCAATTTTCCACAGCTGAGGAGTACTGGGGAGAGCTTCCTTCAGAGCTCATCAGTAAAGCTCATGCATTAGCCAGATGGGGCACTGCAGAGCAACACAGGGTTGTGTGTAAGGACACAGGAATGTGTAAGTATAAATCCCAGAAGATAAGGCTAGAAAGGAGCATCTGGGTCATTGAGTCGAGCGCCAGCATCTAGTGCACAATTATTCTCTGCACTAAACCCAGGTATTTATTTTCTAGTCTCCTATTGAACTTCTCTAATGACGGGGCTTGAGCAACCTACATTGGCAAATTACTCCATTGTCTAAATAATGTCCCTGTTGAAAGACAGTCCTGAGGTCAAACCTAAATTGCCTATTATTTCCTCTCCCATATTTTATGCAGTTATCAGTCATTATTTCAGTTGCCTTTTCTCTATATTAAATTTCTTTAACCACACTCTGCAGATCACGGCCTCCAATCCTTTAATCAGCTTTGTCACCCTCCTTGGGATTCTCTTTAATGCATCAGTGTCTTTTTTTTTAAATAAAGAGAGGAATCCAAAACTGTACATTGTGTGTGTGTGTGTGTGCATCAGAGAGAGAAAGAGCTGAATATGTAAAAGATTAAGTGAATGTGTATAAGTGCATGAGTGTGCATTTGTGTCTGAGTTATAAATGTGTAGGGGGGTGTAGGTGAGAAGGACAGAGGGTACTGATGTGTGGGTGTGTGCATGCGTGGGTGTGCACACCAGTATGTGCAAGGATGTGAGTCATGGGCAGCTGCATGAGTATGTGTTTCAGGGTTCATGAGAGCACAGGGGAAGGAATGAACAAGTGTGTAAGTTTAGTTTTGGTAGCTGACTGACTGCAACATTTCCTAGCCTCCCTCTGCTCTGCCCTTCAGACTCTGTTGCTGGAGCTGCCTTACCCTGTAGTAATCAGTGCTGTAGACATCTCTTGACATCCCAAAGTCTCCGATCTTCACGAGCAGGTTGGCTCCGACCAAGCAGTTCCTGGTTGCCAGGTCTCTGTGGACGAAGTGCTGGGAAGCAAGGTACACCATTCCAGAGGCAATCTGGCTAGCGATGTGCAGCATCTGGGACAGCCCCAGCTCCCCCTTGGCCTGTCGAGGCTGCCCATCCACCAGGATCATAGCATCTGGGCCATGCGCCCTGCAGGGGAAAGAGCAAAGAGCACAGAAGTGGGTATCTAAACAACCAGGTGGCAGGGATCTCAAACCATCTCCATTCATCCTGGAGTCAGGGCATTGGGCCCCAACTCTGAGACCTTCCCAGTGCACTGGGATGATTGGCCTCTATGCACAGATATATTGGAAAGACAGAACCAAAACAAACATGAACACCCTCAAGATCCGGAAGTTCAGTTCAGTTAACTTTGCCCCCCATAAAACCTTCTCCAAATATTTAGAGATCTCCCTTTCTTCCAATCCCATCATTCCCTGGCTCCCCAGCAGCCTCCCTCTCCCCAAACAGGTTGCCCTTTTCCCACCAAACTCCATTCCACCAGCCCCCACTATGTCCTCTGCTCCTGGTGACGTTCCACTGAGTGAGAGGGGTCTCTGCTAGGCTTCAGATGTCACATGCTCCTGGGCTTCCCCAGGTCAGAACCCCAACTCTAACCCTGAGGCAGCCCTGGAATCTGTAAGCGTGGACAGGAGCTGAAGGTGGCAGGCAGAGGCAATGCATGGGAGTATGTGTGTGAATTGCAGGGTCACATGCCCTCCCAGAGTTGCTAGCAGGGATTAGACCCTGAAAAGTCAGGGGAAATCCTGGGCAGCACAAGGTGTACGTATAAGAAACTAGTGCATTCTAGGTTTGGACTCAAGGTCAGCCTCCTTGCTGCCCTGCCCACCCAGTTCCCCTCACATACTAAGCCTGTCTTTGCCACACTATCTCCACCGTGATGTCTCTCCCCTGCTGGAGTTCACCCTCTGGTTGCCTGTGTGGAGGTGGAATAGGAAAAACATTCATATTTAGGGAAAAAGCAAGAGATTTTTCTGTGATCTTCTTCCTCCTGACTAGATACAGAACAACATTTCCTCTGGGGCTTTTCTACCACTCTCTTCAAAATGATTCTTGGCATTTCATCAAGCAAATTGAAACTGCATATACGGAGCTGTACCTCCTTCCCTGCATGGGGCTAAACATCCCCACAAGAGCAGAACTGTTTATCTCCTTTTCTTAAATGCTTGGCTGGGCTCTAGGATGAACACTGGGATTAGAGTCCAGATATTTCGGGTTCAGCTGATTCCGTTTTTCAGATGCCACTTCTTCAAATGTCTATTGCCTTCCTGCCACCACAAATACAACCCTAAAGCTCCCCTACAAGACAGCAGGAGCAGCTCTGAAAGGGAAGGTGAACTCTACACGTGGCACTAGGGAGCAAGGAGTGCTGCAGACAGAGGTGGAGACGTTGCAGAGAGCTGGAGGTAGAAATGCTGCAGAGAGCACAGGGCTAGGGTTGGAGGAGCTGGGCTGGGGGGTAGAAATGTCACAGAGATTATGGAGCTAGTTGTAAAGAGCAGGTGGGTTGATGAGACAAGCTGTGCGCTGAGAGAACTTGTTAGGGAATGCTGCAGAGTGCAAGAGGGGATTACTGAAGACAGTATATAAGATGAATGATTGATGTCTTATTTAAACATCCTAAAGCCTGTTTTATACCAGGAAAATTAACTGTTGTTGACAACAGATGTCAGCAGTCAGTGGAGCTGAGCTGGTGCTGAGTACGGCTGAGCGACAAACATACACCAGAACAAACCACAGTGTCTGAAACAGTGAAGAACACAGCTGGCCATGGTCTGCACTTGCAGTTGGACCCTGCTCGTCAAGGTTCGACTGTGGCTGACACCTGTTGTCAACAACGAGTAATATTTCTGGTGTAGAACAGGTCTGGAAGCGAGCAACGTGTTGTTGATAGATTGCTGGAGATTCTTGTTTGATCTGCAGCTCATTCCAACTCCAAACAGACCAAGAGGCACCAAGGAAATCTCTCTTTCCGTCTAGGTAAGGAACACAGGACAAGTTCAAAACATATCAGCTGCTCAAGGTCAACCTCAGAGGGGTGCACAGTTGCCCTCAACCAGCTAACACTTTTGTAAAAGTGGGACACCCTGTTTACACTAGTGTCTAAATTAGTTAAAACCTTTTAAAATGCAACCTAGTCTAGACAGGCCCTTCCTCACTCCCTGTAGCTGGGATGGTCCCAGAGGAGGTAGCGTCAACAGGCTAATGCCATTAGTGTAAGTGACGAGTGTGCATCGTTCGGTGGAGAAGGCTGCAGAGAGCATGAGAAGACAGGTTAGTCTGTCACTTTCTCAGAGAGTAGGGATAATGCAGTTTACTAAAGATTGTAAAACTGGGCAGATTCTCAGTCCATCAGAGGGGTTTGTTCTTTGGGGATAAAACACTGCAGTTCGTACGATGGACATTTGTGTCAGCATGAGGCAGAAATCCCGTCTTCAATGAGCACTGTCTCTTTTTGCCCCTCGCTGTTTGGACACTAGAGATGTTAAAATTATACTACTATGACTTGTTTTTTGGTAATGGATAGCATGTATGTTTGTTCCTTCTTTCTTCATAATCAAAAGGCTACACAAACTTCCAAGATACAATTTGTCTGTGAGCAGGGAGCAAGTCTGGAGTATTTAATAAAAGAGGAAAATTAAAGATGACTGCAAATAGGGGTTTACTATGCAATTGTTTAAGTAACCTTAACTCTAGCTGTTGTTACCACTGACGCTCTGATTTTACAAACATGCATAATCAAACGTCGAAGAAACAATTGCCTCTGAGCAGGGAGCAAGTCTGGAGACTTTAATAAAAGGGGGAAATTAAAGGTGACTGCAAATAGGGGTTTACAATGGAATTGTTTAAGTAACCTTAACTCTAGCTGTTGCTGCCACCCAAGCTCTGAGTTTAACACACACGCTCGCTCACTCTGTCCTTCTCCATGGCTAGATAGAGAGGGAGACACATGTGCCGTAAACATCGAGAGAAAGAGAATATTTGAACACCACAGAAATGCAGAGCAGCCACCAATGGTATGAGCACAGCAGGGGCTCTGTAACCTTGCCTTGCATAGCAGCTCTAGTGAACTCCCAGGCTCCCTAGTAAGTCAGCCCTGGAGACCCCCTGCTCCCTGGAGAGGGATGTTTACACTTCTCCCTGACAGGCTCTTTTGGAGGGAGCTGCCATTTCAATGCTGGCCTTTTATCAGCCAGGACACTGCAATTTGCAGCAGGCCTTTTTGTATTTCCTGATGGGCCTGACACGTCTGATCTGCCGCCACCAGTGACGAGAGGAGCAGCCAGGCTGCATGAGGGCTGGGAATGAAGTATGAAGAGAGACCACCCTGTGGCACTCAATCCCCAGTCCAGCTGGCAGGTGTAAATTGAAATGACTCCCCTTGCCACATAGGTCACCTTTATTGTTCAGTGTTTTCTCTGAGAGGCCCTGTGCGGCATAATAAAAACTGGGGGACTTTTATTTGTGATGCTTATCTGTGGGAAGTCCAGGCTAAAGTGAGCCCTCTCCCCTTTTACTGCTTTTTCAATGTCTATTGAAATGTGTAGTTAAACTTGAACAAGTTCATTTGATTATCTCCTGAAAGCAGCCCCCGCCCCTCTGGCTCTGGGAGCAGTGCTGGGTGAAGTATGCCAAAGAAAACTTCTGCATGCCTCCTGCAGGGTGAATGCCCAAAGCAAGGAATGCACCAGAGTGGACAGTGCTATGTCTGCATGGGTTATGTCGCTCAGGAGTGTGGCTAATTCACACCCTTGAGCGACATAACGTAAGCTGTAGTGTAGCCATGGCCTAATACCTGGGACCAGCACAGCTACAACAGTACTCCCAAGGGCTTCAGAGACTGGTCCACATTCAGCCCCAGGCTAACCTGGGGTAATATCTGCTGAAGTCACTGGTAGTTAGGCCCTCTCATGCCAGGGCTAATTCCTAACCAGCACTGATGTGTGGCCACCACTGGTGTGGCATGTAGCAGCTGCTTCACAGCACACAATAACACTGCACAAGAAGTTAAGGAAGGCAGCAAAGAAGCAAAGCAAAAGAAGGACCTTGAAGCTGATGGGTGAAATTAAAGAAGAATGTTATTATCCTTGCTGAGCTTTTGACAGTGTCTGGGAGTGAACTCCCCTTTTTGAGGGAATGCACTGGGGATTTTAAGTGACACAAGTGTCCAGGGCCTGGGCTTTGTGCCCTGCCTGAAAGATGGCACCTCCCACAGCATCGTTTCAGCAAAGGGAGGCATGGCGGGTCCCTGTTCCAGTCCCGTCAGAGGCTCCTCTGCAGCAAGCAAAAGAGAGGCCCTATTTATCTGATGTAAAGACCTTCATGCCTAAGGAGACCTGACTCCAGCTCCCCGCCCAGCACCTCTGGGCTGGCTACACAAAGGACCCAGTGTACGCACACCAGCAACAGCACAGGGATCAATTCATGGCTCTGCCTGAACTCACTGCCCAAGGGAGAGAGGTTCGGTCTGGCAGCCTCCCTTTCCCGGGGCTGCCCTCTCTCTACCTCGTCCCCTTTGTGAGGATGGCAGCAGTGCTGCATTAGTGAATCAGGCTCAGGGGGTTCATGCTCTCTCTGAACACCCTGAGCTTTGTGGGGTGTTCCCTTGGCCCAGGTGTCTCTTGGAGCCCTCCTGTCCCAATAACTAGGCTGGTGTCTCGTCCCATCACTAGTAAAAAAGGGTCTGGGGTGTATCAGGGATGTGAGGGCAGCTACTGGTTTTCCAGAGTGTCCACTCTGCCCACCACATAACTCCCCAGAGTAGGGGGCCCGGGGATGACCACAGCATGAGGGGGAAAAGTATCCAAAAGGTGTATGGCTGTAATGCCTGGGACTACTGGGTAATCCAGAGATTGGACTCCATCACATGGAGCCAGGGCAGTGGGGCATAATACGGTAATGAGACAAAGACCCTCCCTAATAGGTTATTCCAGAGAGCCCACTGGGTACCCAGGCACTCCTCAACCATGGGTTATCTCACTTAATGAGGCAAATTGTGGCTTGACTCCAATACAACCCTGGAAGCGTGGGGGTGAAATAGCTCCAAGGCCTTCGTCTGGAGTATGAATGTCTGTGTCAAGCCAGGCCCCAGAGCTCTGGCAGCGGAAAGGCTTAACAAGGAATGGCTTTGTCACTCTGCAGTGTCCAGCTGGCCTGTTCTGGAGCATTCTGTTTGGTGAGGTCAATTAAAGGAGATGCCAAAATGGTACAATAGGGTATGACTCACCTGCAATATGTGCCTAGTCCTAAGGAGGACAAGGCTTACAACCTTTTTTTTTTTTTTTTTTTTTTGGCCAGGGAATGGTGTCTCCATTTCATCTAAGAGCAGATGGATTTTCTCCTTTTCTATTAAGTACCTCAAGTACTTGGTCTCTCATGCTTTTCTCTGGGCTGGCTTCCTTCAGCAACACACTGTCCTACAGGTTGTATCTGCACTCCGAACTAAAAGAAGGACCACCTCACCCAAATAGGCAGCTACATGCTCACAGTGATGGCAGGAAGAGGTGGTCTAATAACTGCTGGAAGGTGGTGGGGTGCCACACAAGGCATGGTAGTGAAATGGGAGAGCCCCGGGGTGGGGAAGGCTGGCTTCTCTTTGGATTTGGCTGTGAAGGGGACCTGCCAATGCCTCTTTGGTATGTCTAATAAATTGATGTATTGTGTTGTTCCTAACTTGTCAACCAGCTCTTCCCGCTAGGGCATGGGGTAGGGATTGACCTGGGAAATCACATGCAGTTTCCTGAAGTCTGCACACAACCGCCCAGACACCTCTGGCTTGGGGACCAAAATGCTGGGGCTGCCCCCCAAGGACTGTGAAACGCCTATGTCATAAATATAAAGGGAAGGGTAAACCCCTTTGAAATCCCTCCTGGCCAGGGGAAATCTCCTCTCACCTGTAAAGGGTTAAGAAGCTAAAGGTAACCTCGCTGGCACCTGACCAAAATGACCAATGAGGAGACAAGATACTTTCAAAAGCTGGGAGGAGGGAGAGAAACAAAGGGTCTGTGTCTGTCTGTATGCTGCTTTTGCCAGGGACAGAACAGGAATGGAGTCTTAGAACTTTTAGTAAGTAATCTAACTAGGCATGTGTTAGATTATGATTCCTTTAAATGGCTGAGAAAAGAATTGTGCTGAATAGAATAACTATTTCTGTCTATGTATCTTTTTTGTAACTTAAGGTTTTGCCTAGAGGGGTTCTCTTATGTTTTTGAATCTAATTACCCTGTAAGATATCTACCATCCTGATTTTACAGGGGGGATTTCTTTATTTCTATTTACTTCTATTTTTTATTAAAAGTCTTCTTGTAAAAAACTGAATGCTTTTTCATTGTTCTCAGATCCAAGGGTTTGGGTCTGTGGTCACCTATGCAAATTGGTGAGGCTTTTTATCCAACATTTCCCAGGAAAGGGGGGGTGCAAGTGTTGGGAGGATTGTTCATTGTTCTTAAGATCCAAGGGTCTGGGTCTGTAGTCACCTAGGCAAATTGGTGAGGCTTTTTACCAAACCTTGTCCAGGAAGTGGGGTGCAAGGTTTTGGGAAGTATTTTGGGGGGAAAGACGCGTCCAAACAGCTCTTCCCCAGTAACCAGTATTAGTTTGGTGGTGGTAGCGGCCAGTCCAAGGACAACGGGGGGAATATTTTGTACCTTGGGGAAGTTTTGACCTAAGCTGGTAAAGATAAGCTTAGGAGGGTTTTTTCATGCAGGTCCCCACATCTGTACCCTAGAGTTCAGAGTGGGGGAGGAACCTTGACAGCCTACATCAGTGCGAGAGCCCCCTTGCAGAGCTCTGGGGGGAGGTGAACCTTTCAAGAGCCATTCCCAGAGCCTCATGCATGCAGGACACTTGTTTAACAACCCAAACCTTTAGGGAAGGATTTGTTTTTCCTGGTCAGAAATCGATTGCACCAGTGGAACAATAATCTCCGTGAACAGGAGAGCCCCAGCTCTAGCACTGACATCATGTTCAGCTCCTCACTCCTAATGCAATTATGCTCGTGCTTAGCAGTCAAAACACAAAAATATCAAGGGTCCAATTTTCTAAATACTTGGAAATAAAGCTAGTAATTATTTCAAGAGGTAAGCGCCACTCCACTCACAGTACAAGTTTTAGAGCATGATTTCTGCATCACAGGAGACTAGCATCAGACACATTTGCTGTATGCTCCACACCACTCAGAGATTTGAAACAGGGCTACGTTAACGCAAACTGAAACCTTTTTGTTCACACCAGGAGGGTCTACACAGGGCAGGCAGAGCACCCCTCAAATCACACCCCTCTAATACGCTTTCCCATGCTGCATATAGACAAGCCCTGAGGGACAGTGTATATGAAAGAGCTACATTCTGGCAATGAAATGCTTACAAGATGATGGGCTGGTGTTTTAATCTCTACCACTCTAGAGGCAGGTGAGACAATGACTGTAAGGGGCCCAGCCTACAATAGCACCTAATTCCCCTAGGATTAGGGACCTCTGACCAGAATTAGTGACCAAAGCCCCAGTGTTTGGGTCCAGTGGGCACCCCAAAAATCAGATCTCTGGATCTAGAAAGGGGAGCTGGAAATCTCAGAGGATCTCTAACCACTGGCGCCAGCCAGGTCAGACATCCTGAAAGTACAGCTTCTCTAGGGTAGTGTTGTTGTATTTTTACTCCTGGCCCCACCAGGATTCTGAGGTGGGTGATGTGCAAAACAAAATGCATGGCAGCAGAATGATAACCTCATTTTTACAATCCAGAGGAAGTGTTCAGGGGGGTCGGTTCAGTCTTTGGCTTTGCTTGGCATGGGAATTTCACAGCTGCTGAAAGGTGTGGGTTTGCCAGCCCTGCAGACCTTTATCCATAGCATTCCCAGGCTGCCTCCTGTCTCAAACCTGCTTTGACCAGATGGAAGCCCTTTAGGGATAAGGAAGAAGTCCAGTCTGCATGGCTCTCTGTGGAGAGCGCTGACCCCCTGTCTGCTGGAAGCTGGACTGAGAATGGCTGACTCATGTTATCCAGGCAGTCAAGTAGTCACTGAACAGTAACGACTTTTGGTCCCTACTGGCTTGGTCTGGATTCAGAGCAGTGACCCAGAGGAGGAAGGTTCTGTGGCCCCTGCCCTGCCATCTCAGCAGTCAGCTCACGCTTACCTCAGGAACTTATTCAGGTCCCCATGCTTCATGTATTCAAAGACCATGATGAGAGGGTCCCCATCACCGCAGACCCCATAGAACTTGACAATGTGCTCATGCTGCAGGTTGGTGAGCAGCTCTGCCTCCCTCTGGAAATCCTTGCGGGCTGCCAAAGTGGGGTCTTTCAGAGCCTGGAAGAGGGGAGCATGCAAACAGAATTGGGAGGGTGTGAGTCAGAAGGACCAGGCCTGGCCTTTCCGCGCTGGACTCTTGGGGGTAGAGGATTCTGCAGAGTGATATTGCCTGTTACGCGAGGATCTCAAAGCACTTTACAAATAGGAATGAATTAGGCCTCATAGCCCCACTGTGAGACAAACCAGGTTCATTATCCCCATTTTACTGATGGAGAAACAGTGAGTTGTCCAAGGCCACAAAGTGAGTCAGTGGCAGAGCTGGGAACAGAATCCTGTAGTGCCAGCTCCAGGTTTATGCTCTAACTGCTGCACTGAGCTACCCTCCTCCTGAAACCCAACCTGGGATGACATTGAGGGGGGCACCCGAGACTGGCTGGGGGGAAGAGACTGGATAGCGCTGCCTGAATCTGCTGAGTAAATCTGGAGAGAGAACAGATGGGAAGAGAAGGAAGCTAGAGGAACTTACATGTGGGCCGGAGATCTTTTGGGATAGTTTATAGGAGCTGCCCTCTTGCATTAAGTGTACTGTTCCTAACCCTTCAATATGGTTTGGGTTTGGTTTGAACATGGGACAAGGCCGAAGACTGTTTGGATTTTAGGAGGAGTAGCTTGCCTTCCCTACCATTAAACTACAGTGTCTTACCAGCAGGTGCTAGAAATGTCACAGATCTCTTCACTTTCCTGCGACAAGGAGAGACAACCCACTCCTTTCCCACTAAACACCTAATAGTTTGGGGGCTTTGTTGTGGGACCCATCACAGAGTTCCCGGTCTTCTCACAGTGCTGTCCAAGGGGCCTTTACTCCCTACCTATGTGCCTCAGCCATACTCTGGAGGCACCTCCTGAGGGAGTTGGCAAAGGTGGTATGGCTCCATGGCACCATTCAGCTCTGCTGAGTTTGAGCTGCGGCGACTGCCACTAGGCTGGAGTTTCTTCCTATGTGGACAGCAGCCCACTTGGCAATAGAGCTCATTCCCCAACTCATTTCACAGAGAGCAGCAAACAGCCCTCAAAGGGTAATAGATTCCCATTATTACAAACTTGGGCAGGATTTCAACTGGTGACCTAGGGGCGAAAGGCTCAGTATCTCATTATTACTCAGCTCCTGAGCCAGCCAGCCCCCTCTAGCTGTCTTTTCTTTTGAAATAGCTGACTACACCGCCTTTCTTCTGAAGACGGATTTGCCGGGCTGTGCAGTTATTGTGAGGATTTTTCAAAATGCCTCTGAAGGACACTGTCAAATCTTTCCTCATAATTTTTAAAATCATGTTTTTATTCCCTGCTGTTTATAACAGCTCCCTGAGAGATTGATGCTGAAATCTGTATCCTTAGCAAAAATGTCTCCTTTAGCACATTTGAGCACATCGGTTTGCTGTTGTTATAGGGTAGCATTGGGCAGCATGCACACACTTGTTATTGTAGGGTGCTAGGAGGACTTGACTGCACATACTTCCTGAGAATACTGTAAGGTTCCTTGTGAGTGCAGGGCTCTACACACTGTTTATTATTTTACAGTTGCTTATGGAGGTTGGTTTGGACACTGCTTTGTTATTATTGCAGGGTAATTTGTGAGGGCTGCCTTTAATTTGGAAAAAAGAGCCCAGAAGTTTTGGGAGAATCATCACAAATGCCATGGACTGCGAACATTCACGCATCAAAAAAAAGAAACTGATCAGATTTAATACCCCTTGATCATAACAGTATCCTTTGAAATTATTTCTTCTTGGGTGCTCACCCTATCAGGACGTCTGCTGTCTGCTTACCGATCTCTTGTCTGTGTAATGATGTCACTGGAGTTACCACAAACCCCAGTCCTTCTCTTGTCAGTCTGTAAACTGATCTGGTCACCCCACTGATTGGGGACCAAAGATGAGACCCTGCTCATCTTACTCATGCCTGGAATTCAAAGGCACAAATAGCAAGAGGAAGGTCGGCAGAACTTGGTTGTAAATGATGCACTGGAAGAATGTTCAGCATTTAGGAAGCTCCTTCTCATTTGCTGTGTCTTGAGGGAGTGGATCTATGGAGTGAGATGCTGAAAATAAACCCAGTCTGTCCTGCAGCTTTGTCAGGCTAGACGCTAAGCTTACCAAAGTGGCAAGTGCTCTTCTCCCACGTGCTTTTTCCTCTGAACTGATCTCTACAGGTTATTATCCGAGCACGAGGCCATTCCTCTTTGTTCCTTCCCCTGCCCTACACCCGCTCGACACATTGTATAATTTCATTTTAATTCTCTGCCCTCAAGGGATAGCCACCTAGAGATATTTAGATGGATGACAGTTACACTGTGCAGATGGCAAAACATCCATCCTCATCTCAGGCACCTGATTATTTTTAGTCATTTAATATCTTTATAGTATGGCTGCTACACCCTTCCAGGAAAATAGCTCCCCTCCCTCCTCAGTCATCCTTTTCCCACCTTATATTTGGACCTGATATTTCAGGTACAATGACTTTTAAGTTCCCTGAATACACCGTTGATTCTACACGGTAATGGGAATATAGATGTTAAAGGAACATTGTTACGTTTGCAAAGGCAAGCATTTAAAAGTCAGAAAATGTAGACGTTGGAAGATGTATAGTGAATGAGGCAGAATAGAAGAGGAAAGAGAGGGGTCTCATGGTTAAGGCTGTTGAATGCTGCCTGGGAGAAGAACTGCCTTCTACCTCTGCTTCTGCTTCTTCTGGATGCTGGGCAAGTCACTTAAACCTAACTTTACGCAGGTGGTCCCTGTGAGTGCCTCATTTTTCTCATGCCTGACCTGAGACTCTGGGCACTGAGTTGCAGCTTTCTCAGCTACAGCTACAACTGAAGTCAATAGGAGTTGTGCTTTGCATGCAATACTCTGGTTCCAGAGCTTTGCAAACAAAAGGTCATCTGCATTTTTTAGCATGGGCAAAACAATGCATTTTCCCTAACCTCATTCCTGGACACAGCTGAATCATTTTGGTTGAAATTTTCCAAAAAAAAAAATAAAATTCAGCCTGAAGCAGACACCCAGCATTGGAATCTTCAGCCTAAATGGTTAAAAGCTGGGAAAGGTATTAGCAACTGAAAACAGGATCTTACAATAGGAAGGATCGGACAACCTTAATAACGGGCCGTGCTACCAGTCCCCGCCTGTAATAAATGCCAGCCAGTTCTCAGGAGGCTGAGTCTGTGTGCGCTTGCAAGATCTCCAAGAAAACCCAGGTGCTGCAAGTTGTACTGATGCTCCAGGAGGTGGTACTCTTCCATCTAACCCACAACGGAACAAATGCCAGTGCAGGCTTACGGGGTGTGATGCTGCTGGGGGTAGGTTTTTGGATACGAAACAGGAAGCCTTGGTCACTTACAGTAATTAAAGACCCTCAGGTACTTTGTAAAGGAGGACTGTTGTTAAGCTCTGCCGGTCTGGGCTCAGATTTTGCATAACTACCTAAATGTGCTCCCTAAATTCCCCTTGTGGCTTCAACTGGTTACATTATTCTTCCTCGTCCTTGTGCGTCGGATGTCAAACAGCTGTTGTGCTGCATATTGAAGCTGGGTGCATTTCAGAGGTGGTGAAGTCAGTCTTGTGTAAAATACTTTGTGACCATGACAAAAGGCATTCTGGAGATATAAGTCTGTAACAACAATTAGTGGGAAATAGTCGAGATAACACTACCGCCTACAAGCAAATGGAACTCAGTCGAGCCCTAAGAATCATAGAATCATCATAGAATATCAGAGTTGGAAGGGACCTCAGGAGGTCATCTAGTCCAACCCCCTGCTCAAAGCAGGACCAGTCCCCAGTGTTTGCCCCAGATCCCTAAATGGCCCCCTCAAGGATTGAACTCAGAACCCTGGGTTTAGCAGGCCAATGCTCAAACCACTGAGCTATCCTTCCCCCCCCCAAGAGATTGTGGATGCATTGTTTATATGCCATAAAGGGATGGATGTAGTTGAGAGGCAGGCACAAGACGGGGAACAAGGTTCACATCATGACACAAGCCACACTCTCAGATAATTAATCATGTGTGTAGTTACTCTATACATCTCTGTAGCATGGGGCGAAAGGGTGGCACCTTGCAGTTCAGGACCAGAACATACCAGGAAAAGTGAGCTTAAAAAAATGTCTTCAAAGGTTCATTAAAACAACGTTCTCTTTGGGAACCAGTTGTCTCTGGACTTCTGGAGAGACAGATGGTATTTTTTCTTTGTAGGGTATCAGTTCAAATTCAAAACCACTTACAATGGTTTACATGGCCGCAGTTACCACAGTGGATTATGATGTATCTGCCAACTGGTGCCACTTGATATGAAAGCACACTTATCCACTAAGCAGACTCCTCCACCCGAGGCCTGGACTTGCTGTGCAAACATGTCCTGAGTCTCTCAAAAGGACCCTTAAGGGGTGTACACAGCAGCTGATTGAGACAGCAGAAGCCATGCTGAGCTGGCCTCTGTTGGAAGTCCTTTAGCTTGGAGTTGTGTGACCAGGCTGGTAGAAGCAGATCTCAGCTGGAAGTGGTCCTTCGAGGATCTTGCAGATCATCCCAGAAAACTGTATTTCTGTGGGTTTTTTGTGTTTGTGTTTTGGATTTGTGTGTGTGTGTGTGTTGCTGAGGCCTCTTTGCTTCAGCGTCTCATGTACAGTTGCAGCAAAAGATAAAACAAAAGGCTGAGCAAAAGGAGGGGGGAGGAGGGCCCCCAGTCTCTCAGAGAGGGCAGGTGAATTCCATACATTGTTTTTGCAGCTGCATGTCAGCTTTAGCTTCCAGACCAGTGCAGTGCAGCTTCTGCTCGGTGCCTCGTGGCCAGATCAACAGGAAAGGAAAGGAGGTTTTGGCATTGGTGAGAATAAATTACCTTGAAGCAAAAAGCTGAAACGTTATGTGACTAAGTGGATTTACCACAATCTACTGCATCTGACAAACCTTCCCCACCTATCCTATCCTTCCCACACAGTATCAACCAGCTATACCTTGCTGTTCAGCCTCCACTACATTCTGCTCCATGCTCTCTTGAGATTTACCTTCACTGCCACCAGCATCTTGTCCTTGGTGGGGCTAAGGTTGTAGCACTCGGCCAAGAACACCTTCCCGAAGGCACCTTCTCCCAGTTCCCTCTTCAGAACGATGTCTCTCCTCTTAATATGCTGAACATCTGCAGAGAATGGGTTGATGGGGAGGGAAGAATGAATCCAGGTTAATGCAGGGAAGGGACAACGAGTTACATTTCTAGTGCTTTACAAGCTCTCTCCCTTTTCACATGCACCCCTACAGGGGATGCAGACTTGCAGAGTGGAGCTAGAGCTGCGCAAAATATCAGCAAGGAAAGCACCTCAAAGTCATTCGGTTTTCGCTAAAACTCACAGCAGGTTTAACAGGAGGTTCCCTAAGGTTCAGGAATCTTTCAGCTGAATCTCCCATGCTGTTCTGGGTCTGTTTGGAACCAAGCTGGACATACGTTCTGGCACCACATTCATTACATGTTTCAGTTTCACATGGTTTTGATGCCAGACCAGGTGAAATCTGAGGGTTTCGAGTGAGTTTTGCATAGAGACTTTGGGTTGGTTTAAACTCCAAAGCTCAAGAGAGATATTTGGGTGCCTGACCCCGGTGGGTCAAAATGAGGGAAATGACCTGGGAGGAGAGAAAGCACTGACTTTGTCGTGAAGTTCTGGGCAGTAAGTGGCAACGGTTTAGCAGCACCCAGCAATGCTACATAATGAAACGCAGGAAGAAGCAAACCAACAAGAATTTAGTGGGGACACTGCGGTTTACGCTCCGTCTGTTTAGGTCTTTATACGTCACCCATTGGTGCAGTATCTCAGGGGCAAATTTCCAAAGGTATTTAGGTGCCTAAAGGTGCAGATAGGCACCTAGCGAGTTCTTCGAAAGAGGCAAGGCAGGTTGGGCATTTAACTCTGGTTGAAATCAATGGGATTTAGGGCCCTAGCCCATAGGCACTTCTGAAAATCCAATTAGGTACCTAGCTACACCTTTAGACACAGAAATGCCTTTGGAAATCTGCCCCTCAGTGCCTTCTCTTGGGGCAAATGCCCCGGCAGGCTCAATGACCACAGTGTGCCAAGCACTGTTTTCATATCTCACCCAAAAGATGGCCCTTCTAGCCTCTGCACTGCATCATGTATGCATCCCAGTGCTTCCAAAGGGCTCTTTTATGGCTCCATGGGCCTGAGCAGTGTGGGGCTGGGAGGAAGAGGTGCCCAACCACAGCAGCAGTGTCTGGAAGCTTTGTGCCCATGGAGGCCAGGAGCAGATACTGGGGGAGCACATTCCCCAGAGCCAGCTGCTTCACTAAGGCACCGGTGCACCACGGACTCTCCCCAGCTGAGCCCTAGCGTGCCGGAGGCAGAGTGATGGCAGCATTGGTGACCTCTCCCTTGTGCTCATGGACCAAATGTGGCCCCATTATGGCCATCCCCTATATGGTAAAGTGCTCCCTTCTCTCTCCCACAGAGGGGCAGCCATAATGTGACCCTCTGTTTACGGTTTCAGAGTAACAGCCGTGTTAGTCTGTATTCGCAAAAAGAAAAGGAGTACTTGTGGCACCTTAGAGACTAACCAATTTATTTGAGCATAAGCTTTCGTGAGCTACAGCTCACTTCATCGGATGCATACTCTGTTTACGTGCTCCCACTTTCTTCCATAGCAAGTTGCTTTTGTATCCTTTCTTCCATTTCCCCTTGCCAAGGTGGCAGGAGGGATCTGTACTCAGTTGGCAGCATTCTCTGGTGCCCAGATTTCATGTTGGGCTGGTCTATCGAGAAGGTAAGACAACACTGAGACAGCACTTGTGGTGGCTGTTCCGAGTCATCTAGAGCATGCCATCAAGAAGGAAAGGTTACAGCCCATTACAAGTGCCCATCCCAAGTGCCATATCAACCCTGACTCAATCCAATACCTATCTGCTTCACAGGGGGACGAACACACCCTGTGATGGCACAGGCACTGCTCAATTTATCAAAAAGCCAATGCACTGGAAGAGGAATGTCCTGATGGCTTCCATACGATTAAACCTGCTAATTAGAAGCTCGCAGGCAGGTCTATAAGCTGCCATCTACAGTCCTCTTGACTGTTTGGGAAGTGAGATATGGACAGATTGCATAAGCAATGGGCCTTGTAATGAACAGCACCCTATAGAGAATTCTCATTGACCTTTTCATTAATTGTGCACTAGGTAGAAAACTGTTAGTTACCGATTTTAATACTATTAGTAACATTAAGGTATAGGATGGTAGCCACATCCCAAACGACTGGTGTGAAATCTCAAATGACAGTCGAAGACAGCAGCTCAGGTATGGGTTTCTTTGGTCTGGCTTAGTTTCAGTGTTTATGGATACCTAGATGAATCTGAAATGTCAGGTGTCTAACTGTAAAGGGACGTACTTGGGTAGGGAGAACCCCTAACCTAAAAACATTTCAAATGGCAATGAATTAGAGATTCTTTTCTGTCCACCAAGCTATTTCCATGGGGCCCATCACAGTAGTCTACATACTAAGGATTTGGGTGTAGTGATAAACCCAGTATTTCAAGTCTTGGTCCACTGTTCAGCAGCCAGAAAGAGGGCTAAGGTGAGGCTGTCTCATATTGAGAGCAGTCCAGAGATGTTGCACTAGTACTTTATAAAGAAATACTCATCTGGGAGAATAGCATCCAGGTCTGGTCACCCTATCTGAAGTGAAATTGTTACAGAATCCGATGCAAAAGGCCAGTGTAGATGCTGCATGCTGTGGAGGGGCTCACATGTGAGCAGAGACTGATGGCGTTTGAGGTTATTTAGACTAGAGGGAAGATAATTAAGAGGTGACATGACTGGAACTGAACCAAATACCCAGCACCAACCTACTGTATCTGTAGAATGAAATGAGTCTGAACTGCTAGACATGGGAAAGTTCAGGTCTGGATTTTGTACCTTCAGGTTCAGAGAGTTCAGACTTGATGTTTGCTCCATTACAAAAATACACATTTTGGATTAAAGATCCGGAGTTTGGAGCAGGGCTCTGGTGTGGGTAATTTAAACTACCAATGGGTTGTTAACATCATAACGTATGTGATGTCCCTGAACACGCCAGGAGGACACACTGGAAGTTTCAGGTAAGAGGGAAGATATGTAAGAAGAATTTAAGGAACATAAGAATGGCCATACTGGGTCAAACTGATGATTAATTTAGCCCAGTATCCTGTCTCTGACAGTGGCCAGTGCCAGTTGCTTCAGGGGGATGAACAGAGCAGGGCAATTTTGAGTGATCCATCCCTGTTGTTCAGTCCCAGCTTCCAGCAGTTAGAGGTTTAGAGACACCAGCAGCATTGGGTTGCGTCACTGACCATCTTTGCTAATAGCCATTGATGGATCTATTCTCTATGAACTTTTAAAAACTTTGTTATACTCTAAACCTTTACAGCATCTCATGGCAATGAGTTCCACCGGCTGACTGTGTGTGCGTTGTGTGAAGAAGTACTTCTTTTTGTTTGTTTTAAACTGCTGCCTATTAATTTCACTGGGTGACCCCTAATTCTTAGGTTTTGTGAAGCGATAAATAATACTTTCTTATTCACTTTCTCCACACCATTCATGAATTTATAGACCTCTATATACCCTTTATAGGAACTCTGTATACCCTCTATGCAGGGGACTGGATTAGATGATCTCTCATGGTCCCTTCCAGTCCTACGATTCTATGATTCTATCATATTCCCGCTGAGTCGTCTCTTTTCTAAGCGGAACAGTTCCAGTCTTTTTCATCTCTCCTATATGGAAGCTGTTCAATACTCGTAATCATTTCTGTTGCTCTTCTCTGTACCTTTTCCAATTCTAATATATCTTTCTTGTGATGGGGAAACAAGAATTGCACCCTGTATTCAAGGTGAGGGCGTACCATGGATTCATACAGTGGCCTTGTGATATTTGCTATTATCCCTTTCCTAATGGTTCCTAACATTCTGTTAGGTTTTTTAAGTGCCACTGCACAGTGAGCGGATATTTTCAGAGAACGAGCTATGAGGACTCCAAGATCTTCTTGAGTGGGAACAGCAAAGTTAGACCCCATCATATTGTATGTAGAACTGGGATTATTTTTTCCAGTGTGCATTACTTTGCATTTAACACTGAATTTTACCTGCCATTTTATCACCCACTTTAGTGAGATCCCTTTGCCACTCTTCGCACTCAGCTTTGGACTTAACTATCTTGAGTAATTCTGTAACATTTGCAAATTTTGGAACCTCACCGTTCACCCCCATTTCCAGATCATTTATGAATATGATGAGCAGCACATACCTCAGTACAGCTCCTTGGGGGACCCTGCTATTTAGCTCTCTCCAATATGAAAATGGTCAGTTTTCATGGACCATTTATTCCTATCCTTTGTTTCCTATCTTTTAACCAGTTATTGATCGATGACAGGACCTTCCCTTTTAACCCATGTCTGCTTACTTTGCTTAAGAGCCATTGGCGAGGGACCTTGTCAAAGGCTTTCTGGAAGTACACTATATCGGACTAGATCACCCTCGTCCACATGGTTGTTGACTTTCTCAAAGAATTCTAACCGGTGAGGCATGATTTACAAAGTCATGTTGACTCTGTCCCCATATGGCTATTCTTATGTTCTTATGTAACAAATCATGTTTATATACATGTCTGATAATTTTGTTCCTTGCAATAGTTTCAACTAATTTGCCCACTACTGAAGTTAGGCTTACTAACCTGTAATAGACAGGTTTGTCTATGGAGCCTTTTTAAAAAATAGGCATTATATTAGCTACCCCCCAGTCATTTGGTACAAAGTCTGATTTAAGTGATAGGTTACATTCACAGTTAATAGTTCTGCAATTTATATGAGTTCCTTCATAACTCTTGGGTGAATTCCATCTGGTCATGGTGACTTATTACTGTTTAGCTGATCACTTTGTTCGAAGACCTCCTCTATTGACACCTCAATTTGGGATAGTTCCTCAGATTTGTCATCTAAAAAGAATGATTTAGGTGTGGGGATCTGCCCCATATCCTCTGCAGCGAAGACTGAGGCAAAGAATTCATGTATTTTCTCTGCAATGGCCTTGTTTTCCTTAAGTGCTCCTTCAGCAACTCCATCATCCAGTGGCAGGCTGCCAGCTTCTGATGTACTTTAAAAAATTGC